CACGGTATTTAATGTCCACCACAAACCAGTGAAGGAGACCTGGGTATCCCCATTTTATAGATAACAGAACTAAAGCTCAGAGTTCATACAATTTGCCCACAATCACAGCTAATAAAGTGAAAGAGCTGAGAAGGGAGGGTAGATGGTGATAGCTCACTGGTAGAGTACATGCTTAGCATGCTTGAAGTCCTGGGTTCAATTCCCAGCACTTCCATCAAAAAAAAAATTAAATTAGAAAAAAAAAAAGAAGTGAAAGAGCTGTACCATGAAACAGTGATTTTTTTTTTTAACCCCGGGATCACAAAGTCAGATATTTCCCTGGCAACTTATGGATTGGGCCAAGTGAAAGGCAGCAGGGAGGGGTGGGGCTTGGAGCCCACTGGAGTCCACCCTGCCTCAGGGCATTCACATTCTCAGGCTTTTATCAGGCTGTGCCAACCACAACACTGTGGCCAGTTCTGCTACCCCTGCCTTAACCTCTGGTCTTTGCTTCCCCACAAAAACTCCATCCCCATGGCCACCACCCGAGTCTTCATCATTCACACCTGGTATGCTACAGGAGCCTCCTCCACAGCCTTTCTGCCGCTAGCCTTACCCATGCTGGTCCATCTGCTTTCCAGAGCCAGACATTGTCCCTTCCCTGAGCACCCAGTCCTCAGAGACCCACTCCAGGGGTCATCACAGAGTAGGAGGAACAAGGACTTTGCAGCTAGACAGTTTGAGATTCAAATCCTAGCTCTGCCGTTTGCAAGCTGGGTCACCTTGGATAAGTCACTTAACTTCCCTGATCCTCAGTTTTCTCTAAGAGGGGCATCAGGATGAACGCTAGCACGAAGAGTCCTCAGGGACACAAAATGCACTCACACTTATAAAGTACTCAGCCCAGGGCCAGGCGCCCAGCGGGTATTCACGTGGAAAACACAGGCTGGGGACGGCTTGGTACTCTCTCCCCTTTGCATGTCACCTTCAAACCTGGGTAGTCAGGGAGAAGGGGGGACTTGTCCAGCTAGTAAGTGGGACACTCAGGTTTCAAATCCAGGTCAGCTTCTCATCTGCAAAATGGAGACAAACTCTAGGCACATGTGGTCTTGCCCAGATCTAGAGAAGATGCCCGTGGCGGGAGTAGGTGCTCTGAATCTGTCCAGCCTGGTTAGGCAGGCGGGAGGGCAGAAGGGGCCAGGCTGGACCAGAGCTGAGCAGATCCCTGCCCAGAGCAGGACTGCAGGGCAGGGTGCTTTCAGAACCTTTGCAGACCCTGTATCTGATTCTTGGAGGCCCCACCCTCACTACAACAAACATTAAAACTGCACCTACATCCTTCATTAAATATAACCCTTCTTTGCTTAAAATGTAATAAGGTTTTTATGAGTTTTCTTTTGAAATTACTTGACTCTGAGTAATTCATTCAGTTTACTACTGGCTATGATTTCTCCTCAATCATCCTGAATGTTCTGGAACTCTTGCCAAAAATCCAACTTACAAATTGTTTTCAAATATAATGACATTTGTCTGGATACCAAACTTAACAAATATTAAAGTTGACATGTTACTCTCTGAAGGCATTTAGTTGAACATTTATTGATTTTGACACTGTCTTATTCAGATTTTGCAGCCCCTAAAGCTTTTCCTTAGAGTTTCCAACATTTCCTGAGTGTTGGAAGTCCTCCCTGGCCCTTGGATAGGACAGATTTGCTCATAAAGCCAGAACACTTGGCTCCTCCCTGTCTCCTGGTCCAGCTGCAAAAGCATTCACCCCAGGGGGTCCAGGGCATCCTAATTTGGGCAACTTTATTCTCATTTTCAAAACAAAGTGATTTACCAAATGTTGGATTAAATGTGACTTAATGCTTAAACCTTTATTGGAGTTTTATATAAATAAATTTACAAATGAGGCAATGCTTTGATGGGGTGAATGTTCTGATGTAGGGTTTGGAAATGAGGATCACTGTCATCCTAACCAAACCCTACCACCCCTCCCATCTGAGGGCACAGCCAGCTCCCTCCTGGTCCCCTCAAGTCCCCCAGGACGGGGCGCCAGGAGGTAAAGCAGGGCAGGGCAGGGCAGGATGCAATGTGGCTGGGCACAGCCCTCAGTGCCACCCAGTTGCCATGCTTTGTGACTGACAAGGGACAGTCCCCGGTGTAGACTTCATTCAGGGCCATCCCTGCAGGGCAGACTGGTCGAGGTCAGTTGGTTTGCCTGTTCTATTGCATCCTGTTTAGGGCCCTTTGGAGCAGACCGGTTTTTAAAATTCCCTCTGCTGCCCACAGTCACTCCACTCCCTCCTCCACACAAGAGGCAGAAGCCCTGGATCCCGAATATGCAGGGAGGAGTGGGAGGAGGGAGAGGCAGCTTCTTCACAAAGACGTCCACATGCACCTCCCAAGCAGGACCCAAGGAGGGGCAAGAAATGATTGCAAGAGAGGGAAGGAGGTAGAAGGACTGCACGGGAGGAGTGGGGGAAGGAGAGGGCAAGGAAAGGACTTCATTTCGGCTTACACACACTTTGATTCATTCTATCTGGAAGCAGTAAATATAGATAGATGGTAGATACATAGACAGACAGAGATAGACAGGTATCTTGAACCTGGTCATTTCACTCACGGCCATCTAGACTAGGAATAATATGTAAAGCCTTCTATGCAAAGATAATAACATCTAACATTTATTGAGCACTTAGTGTTTTATATCCAGAGATTGGACTGACTGAATGAATCCAAAATCAACCCATGAGGAAAGTGCTATTATTATCCCTATGAAATCGGCGAGGACCTGGAGGCACAGAGAGGGGCAGTAACTTGCCCAAGATCACACAGCCAGTAAGCAGTGGAGCCAAAATTCAAACCCCAGTGGTCTGACTCCAGAGCAAACAGTAGTAGCCACGACATTAGACTATAGTTATTCTTTTTTTAAGTTTGTGTTTTGTTTGTTTGTTTGCTTTATGTTTGATTTTTTTCCTTGGCACCAGAGATTGAACCCAGGACCTCATGCACACCAAGCACATGCTCTACCACTGAACTATATCTCCCATCCCAGACCATAGTTATTCTTAACAGGAAAAAGCCCTGATGACAAAATATGGTGAGGCTACCATGCGAGTGTACAGTAATTAACATTTATAAAGAATATTTTCATGAAATGAGGAAAGATGTTAAAATGTTTTTAAAACACAAAATTATACATATGTGAAAACTCAAAATACCTTTTAAAAAATAACTGAAATAAATATGTAAAATGTATTTTAAACATAAATATGTCTCAGACATACAGAAGATGATCAAATAGTTGTTGAACTTGGTGGTTCAACAAGGTCCCCAGTGAGCCCGGTTTATGAGTGGGCTTTTTCCTCCTTGCCATTTTTCTATACTTTCCAAATTTCTTTAATGAAAATTATTCTTTTCAGTTAGGAAAAAGTATGAAGGCCTTACTGTTTTTAAATTATTTGCTCTCAATAAATGTTTAAAAGAGTTCTGAGAAACAAAAAAACCAGAAGCAAGTTGTTTTAAAAAATGGAGATGTAGCTAAGAAATTCTTTAAATTGGTAATATTCTTGGGGCTAGGCCTCAGCACACTAAGAATGTACAAGGGATGAGAAAATGGAATGGATTCTATTATATGACAAATTCAATGAGTAAATATGGAGTCTTTGCTGTCCTAAGCACTGGCAAAGGAGACTGGCAGTTCTTGCCTTCAAGGAGCTTTCTAGAAAGATCTCCTAATCCACTTCCTTGTCTTATAAATGAAGACACAGCATGTTTTTATTATTAGATACATTCACGTCCTTGAAAAGTAAGTTCCCTTCAGCTTAGAAAAGCATCCTTCCTTGGGCAGACAGGGCCCAGTGTGGGGTAGGAAGCCCTGGACGCCGACCTCCCCGGCTCCAGCCAACTGCACCTGCTGAGCGGGTTTCCCCAACCAGAAATCAGCCAGACTTGTACAACCTCTCGCTCATCACCCAGCTCTATCGGTCTGCTCTACATCATGTGGATGGCTAGAACAGACTGGCCAGAGCTGCCTTCTGGAGACAGAAGGACCCTGGGTCTAGGGCAGGAGTGAGCCCGGCTAGGGGCCATCAGGAGGTGGCAGCAGCAGGGGAGCTTCTGCCCAGGAGCACCGTGCTGTCCACCAGGGAGAGAGGCGGGGATGGAGCAGAGCGAGCTGCCCGGAGCAGGGAGGACGCCAGCCTCCTGCTGCCTCACAGCCCCCAGTTACACACGCTCACAGTTCTAGAGCTAATCGTTTCTGAAGCAGCGGGTCTGTTTATCTCCCCACTCAGCAGCAGCATGGCCAGCAGCTTCTCTATCATCAACACAAGACCCTGCACAGCACAGGACACATTCCACTCTCCTCCTTTACAGGCAACAGACTCCAGCAACCTCTGTACCCAAGGAGGTGCTCCAGAAATTGTGTATTAAATGGGAGTGAAGCCAAGTTGGTTAAGCTTGGATTCAGAAGGCACAGCCTAGTTCCAACCCATTACAAGAGAATCTGACAGGAGCCTGCTGATTTCTGTGCTCCGCCTCCCACCTACTGAATCAGAATCTCTGAGGGCAGGACCTGGAAATGGCATTTTAAACAAGCTCCTCAGAAGAGCCTGATGTCTCAGAGTTTCAGAACCACTGGCCTCAGGTCTGGATGTAAGTGCACATTCCCACATCCACCAGGCTATCCTAGGAGGCTGGAAGTGAGGAGGAAATAAGGTGGAAAGGGGATGCTACTCTTCAAACTGGTGTGACAGGGATGTACCCTGGACATGGGGCCAAATGTCCACTTCCAAGGGAGCAGTTTGGACAAGGGAACTAGGGGCAGCAGATGGGTCCCCGGTGAGCCTCTCCTCCCACCCTGCTTCCTTTGTCAGTTTCCACATGCACAAACACACTCAGCCAAGCCTAGTCGCTCCCCTCAGAATCTACTGTACCTCCATCCACAATGCTCCTAGACCCAACCTCAGCCACCATCCACCATCGCTCTCCCACTCACAACAGAGACCCCACCTGCCTCATTACTTAAATAATCTTTATTTTTCATGCACTAGGAAAGATGGGATTGTATGAAATACTGCATTTCACAGCAAAGGCCTTGGTCCAGAACACAACATAGGGGACCAGGTGGGACCCAGGTCTGGTCAAAACTCTGGGGACCATAGTGGGGATTGCCCCCAGGGCTAGTGGCCAATCCAGGACCCTCCAGCTGCAGTGGCCCCAGACATAGCACAGGCGGCTGCCCCCTCCCACAGAGGCACAGGAAGCTGACACCAGAGAAGCACGTGGACCAGGGGAAGGACGGAGAGCGCGGCTGGGCAGTGACTTGGCGGAGGTGGTGGTCCAGCACCTCCGGGGCTCGAGTCCAGGCAGCCATGGCTGCAACTCAACCAATTTTACCTCCCACAGGGCTGCTGGAACTCCCCAGATTCCCAGCAGCTCGTGCCCATAATATACGTGTACAGGCCCCACCTGACTGCCCCTCAGCCACATAAACAAGGCGGTGGCCTAAACTCAAGCCCCAGCCAAAGCTCGGGTTTGCCTAAACAGGACCCCAAGAATTAGAGGGGCCAGCCCCCCACAACCATCCCTAGCTCCTGCAGACACTGAGATGCCCGCAGGACAGCCAGGCTTCAAAGGATCCTGGGACAGGGCCACAAGCAGGGCAGCCCTCCAACCTGGGCCATCAGATGCCACTTGAGCCAAGACAAGGGCAAAGCAGATCCTGGGCACCACTTTCCCTGGGGCGGCACAGGGACAGATACAGGTAGAGACATGCAGGACAGGACAAAGAAGAATGGACACATGCAGAGACCACAAGAGCGTGGGAGGGGTTTGAGGACAGAACGGGGCCAAGGTGCCGAGATGTGGGGCACTACGTGAGCTGGGCTCACTGAGGCCCTGGGCTCATGGTGATGCCCGCCTCCTCCGGGATGGTCTCCAGCATCTCGCTCTGCACGGCCTGCGTGATGAGCGCCAGCTCCTGGCACAGGGTCTCATGGCGGTAGCCCACGCGGATGTCCGGCACGTTGGTGCGGCGGATATCATTACCCTCGGGGCCCTCCTTGGTATAGTTGGGTCCCAGCCAGTGGCTCTTTACCTGCAGGGGTGGGGGTAATGGGCAGGGCTGCAACCAGCTCTGAGGGGCCAGGGCCCCTGGGACCTTCCCAAATGTAGGGCAGGGGAGGAGAAGGGATGCTGAGGGAGGGAGGGGTGCAGTACCTTATGGGAGAAGCCGCTCATGAGCACACTGTTGCGCGCCAGCTCACACATATCACAGGAGCTGAGCTTCCACACCTGGGTGGCGATGCTGTACTCCTCCATCAGCGGCTCCTGCACAGGCCAGGCTCCCTCAGGCAGGTGCAACAGGCTGCCGCCTGACCCTCCCACGGACTTGGGACTTGCCACGCAGCCTGCTGCACTCCACCAGCAGAGGGCAGCACCAGCCGTGAGACCTCCCCACCACGTCCAGGTGGCCTTCCTGTCCCAGGAAACCCGCCCACCTGGCTGCCCACTGGGTGCTGACCTTGGTGAAATGGAACTGCAGGGGATCATCGGTGGACAGCGAGACCATAAGGCCGCGGGACAGGTACTCGGGGAGCGGGTTCCGGTGGTAGCTGAGGAAGAGGCTGTTGTTGCTGAGCGGGGACATGGCGATGCCAATCTGGGCCAGGTAGTACAGGTACTGCAGGACCGGGGCCTGGTGGGCAGTAGGGAGGGCAGGGCGGGCTGTCAGGCGGCCTCGAGGATGGAGGGGGCACCTGGTTCTGGGGGGGTACAGGCCACCGTTGTGGGTGGCGGACAGCCCAGGCTGGGCCTGAGGTACGGAGGGTCAGTTATTGTCAGAACCCTAGTTGGGGCTTCGGTGTAGAGGCTGGGGTCCAAGCTAGGGGTGGATAAGCCTTCTCACTCAGAAACTGAAGAGGCCCAAAGGGCTGGGAGGAGGGGAACCGCGGGGAAGGGAGGCTGGGGTGCAGAGCCTGACCTTGCGCAGAAGGAGCCCGTGTGAGATGTTCTCAGCCAGCATGAAGGCCGACACCAGGTGGTGGATGGGCCCGGCCTCCCCACAGTGCGGCCTCAGCACAAACGTGTGGAAGCCCCTCTGCCTGGGGAGCCATGAAGACAGTGTCAGGTCCCAAGCCTGGCCTGCCTGGGCTTCTGAGTCCCCACATGGTGACTAGGACCAGAGGACAGGGGTAAGCCATGGGGCCCCAAGGGCAGAGAAGGAACCCACTGGGTCCAGGACTGAGGACAAGAGGTGGGTCAGGAATCTGGTGGCCCTAGCCCCGGGTAGGCCCAGAGCAAGGCCTATTGGGGAAGAGACGGTAGGGTGAGCAGAGACCCAGCACCGGCGGAGCAGGCACCTGCGCAGGTGGTTCAGCATGGCCATGTTGGCGAAGGTGTAGTACAGGTAGTAGGCGTAGGGTGGGTTGTCCTCCTCCACCCAAGCCTCGGGGAGGGGGCTCTCCATGTTGAAGACGTGGTTCTCGGGCTTAGACTCATCGTCCACGCTGTCAAAGCCATCCACCTGGCACGGGACCCTGGGGTCAGGCCCAGAGCTACAGCCGGGCCTGAGGCGGGCTGTCCTCCCCTACCCACCCCTGGGCCACCCACTCACGTGCTCCAAGAAGAGGTGCAGCTCCGGGTGGCTGGCAGGGTGGATGGTAGCCTCGAACAGTGGCAGGAAGATGTTCTCCAGCATCTCCTGGAAGTTGGCCAGCTGGCCCTTGGTACGGTACACATCACTGCAGGTGAGACATATGCACACAAGTGTGTGCAGGTCAGAGCCAAAATCACAGAAGCCCTTCTGAACCATACTGGGTAGCCCGGCCTAGACAGGCTGTGAGTAGAACTAGGAGGCCCTCCTGCTCCCAGTGCTTAGCTGGGACAGGGGAGGGTCAGCCATCCCAGGAGGGCAGGAGGCAGGCCCTGGCCCCTTGAACTCTGCTCCCCGTGTTCCCTCCCATTCCAAGGGACACTCACAAGAGGCGGGGCACCTGCACGAGCCAGCGCACGTTGGGAGAGTGTACACGGTGCATCACTGCCCAGCGCGCCAGCTTGTCCCACTCGTCCCTTGAGCGCCCGTAGATGGAGAGTCGAAGCTCCGCATTCTGGTATTTACTCTCCTCCAGGTCCGACATCACCTCCTGAGTGACACGCATGGGGCAACTGTCACCCACAGGCTTCTCACCCGTCCCTGTCTTCGCACCCACCAGATGTGCTCGGTCAGACCTCTTCATGCCTCTTACCCACCCTCCCCACCCACCAAGGCAAGCCCCCAGCCACCCAGGCTCTCACTCAGTCGGGGGAGGGCTGCCTAAGGCTGACACTGGCCTTGTACATGGGCCCCGGCAGCCACGTCTCCTTACCTTGATGATGTGAGCAAAGTACTTCCCAGAAACCCTGTTGTCGGTCTTGATGAAGATCTCTCGGAGGACAGACTCCCCAATAGGGTTGTATTTGGCATTGAACTTGTCAAAGCGATGGAAGGTGTTCCTGTCCTGGGGAAGATGAGCAGGCCCAGGTCACCCCTGACCCACGGCCCACACACTGGCCCAACCCCTCAGCCCCTGTACCACTGGGACAGACCGCGTGCACGTCGAGCGTGTCCACACTCAGGTCGTAGGCAGTGAGATTCATGCTCTCAAAGACCTCCCGCAGCGTCTGTTCGCGACCCTGTTCCACGTGCACGATCTCCTCCAGGTGCCGCTTCATTGCCCGTTTGATGAAGCGAAGCAGATGCTTCTGGTTCATGCAGGACGAGGCATGGATGTGCGTGTCCACCTGGGCAGGGAAGGGGGCTGCTGGGTCCACTGGAGGCCGGGACAGTCTGGGGCCTGGGAGGTGGGATGGGAGAGGACTCTCCAAATTGCATGCTGGGTTGGGGCCCAGGCCCCGGAGAGGGAGGCTAGGCAGGGGTGCAGGGTCAGGCCACGGGGGGAGGGCCTACCTTGCGGATATTGTAGAAATCTCGGTGTGGCACTTTCTTCTGGGCAGCCAGCTCCTTCATCTCATTGAGCAGCACATGCATCTGGAATTTGGAGCTCAGATACTGCAGCCGGCGGTAACAGAAGGATTTTCTGGACAGAAGGAGAACCAGGCAGGGGCTCAGGCCTGCAGGGAAGTACCTGGGAGGGCCTGGGTGGCAGAGCAGAGGGAGGAGGCGGGAGAATGCAGAACTGAGGCTGCCAAGGGAGCAGCAGATGACTGGGTAACAGGTGTCTGGGGCAGGGCTGGGGCTAGAAGAATCCAGGCTCGGAGAGGAGCCGAGATTATGGGACAGGCAGGGACTCACATGGGGCCATTGATAATCAGAGCCATCAGCACATTGACATCTGCCACAAATTCCTGCAGGTCGGGGTATGGCAGCTCCACTTCTGAGCAACTGGAGTGGAGTGGGAACTTGAGTGAAAAGAGCAAGCCAGGCCCTGTGGACCCTCCCAAGCCAATGCAGCACCCCGCAACTCCCCACCAGCACGCCCCACACCCCTCTTACTGCTCATCAGGTTCCCTGCGGGTGTAGACGTGCACCACGCCCCGCACCATGCGGAGACCCAAGCCCAGGTCCCCCGGCATGGTGCTTGGTTCACAGTGCTCATACGGGTGCTGCTCCAGCGCAGGGGGGTGCACCGGGGCATCTGCAGGGATGAAGAGGGTGGAGTCATGGCCTGGGATCTTCCAGGCCACCCGCTGCCAGGCCCAGAGGCCCCGCAGAGGGTGAGAGACATCAGAGGCCCCAGTAAGACAGCTGTCTCCACCCCCTGCACTCCAAGAGGCTGGAATGAGCCCAGGTGTGGTAAGAAGCAGACAGAGGTTCCTGAGCCCCAAACTCAGGGAGCCTGGGACACCAGGGCACTTGGAATAGGGCAGGTATGGGGGTCCCACCAGCAGACACAGGGGTGTCAGGGCCCTGCTCATAGGTCCGTGTCTCCAGAGGCTTCTCGGCCAGCTGCTGCAGGTACCGGCGGGTGGTGGGGCAGAAGCTCTGCAGAGACAGGGCCATGTACTTCTCCCGGATGAAGAGCGCCCGCACCACACTCTTGGCTGCATCCAGCAGGTCTGTAAATGGTACCTGGAGACAGGCATAAAGGATCACTCTCGACTGTCTCAGATCCACACCTGGCTCACTCACACCTCTTCCCTGAGATCTTGACCCCAGAAATACACTGTTCTGTTCCCAGCACAGCAACTAGCTCCCAGCCAGAATCTCTGCCCCTCTAGCTTTCAGAAAGAGAAGCACCATCTCTAGCCTCTACCCCCAACTCTCCAGTCTCAGGAAGCCCACAGAACCTTGGGGATGGGAACACTCACCCCACACTTCTCCTCCCCGGAGATGGTGACCCGCTGAAATTCCCGTTCCAGCACCACATCACGCTCCCGCAGGCCCCGGTCACCCTGCCCCTCACCCTGCTCCTTGTAGAGCCTACAAATGGAAGATACAAGGGAGAGAGTTGGAGGCAACAGTAAGACAGGCCCCGCCCTTCATCCCCTGCACTCCTCTGCCCTCCTCACTGGAGGTCCGAGTCACTGTCCGTCTTCAGGAAATCTTGCTTTGCCCGAAGCAGGATGTCTGGCTCCAGCCTAGAGGTGAGAGGGGTGAGAGGTCAGGCAGATGGTGAGGTTCTTGCTCCCAGGTGCTGTGCATGTGCTGTCACCTGTGGTCCTCACAGGGCTGCAGAACCCTGTGCCTGGGTGCTGCTCTTGCCCCACATCAGAGATGAGAAAGCACACCCAGAAGTCAAGAAATGCATCCAGGCCACAATGATGGGTAGAAGACAGAACCAAAACCCAGCAGCCTGACTCCAAAGTCTGCATTTCACACTACTGCTCTATGCTGCCTCCCCAGGGGGCCCCAGAGAGAGGACTGATTGGAAGAGAACAGAAATGGAAGCACCTGGACAGAGACACAGGGATGACAGGCAGCCTACTCTGTACCCCTCCCCCGCCAACCCCATGTTGACTGTACTCCCCACCATAGCTGTCTGGCTATGTCCTCACCCCAGCCCCATGGCTACCTGGCTGTATACCCCCACCCCATGGCTGCCTGGCTGTGTCCCCACCTCGAGGCTGCTTGGCTGTGTCCCCACCCCTTGGCTGCATGGCCATGTCCCTACCCCATGGCTACCTGGCTGTGTCTCCACCCCGAGGCTGCCTGGCTGTGTCCCAACCCTGAGGCTGCCGGGCTGTGTCCCCACCCAGAGGCTGCCGGCCTGGCTGAGGCTCACTTGACATCCTGGCTGATCTGCCTCTCCAGGCGCTGCCGCCGCTCCTCCAGCTGCTCGATGGGGCTCTCTTCAGGGAACTCGTATGGGGCGCTACGGAGTTCACTCTCAGCCAGGGAGCGGCTGAAGAGCTCCTGGTGGGAGGGAAGGAAGGTTAGTGTGGCCTAGTCCTCAGGGTCTGGGGATGGGGTGAGGGCTCAGAAGCTGGGGGTACCTGGGCCAGGATAGGGATCAGGGCACAGCCAAGCGTGAAGTAAGGGGACAGCTGAGAGGGAGGGGTGCGGGGAGCAGACTATGCGTCGGGACAGTGCTGGGGGGCACAGGGTACGCTGCCAGGTGATACCTCGGCGATCTCCTTGCATTTGCCATCCATAGACGTGCGCAGGTCGAGCGGGAAGTGCTTGAGGCAGGGGGCAGGGCCTGGCAGGGATCGGGCAGACTGCAGCGGAGGGGCCCCCAGCCCACCCCGAGCCTCTGTGGAGACAGTGATGCAGGGTCAAAGGGTGGAGGGCAGGGCCTGCGTACACTGGAAGCCCTGGGCCCCTGCCTGCCTCACGCCAGCCCGGAGAGAGGCCAGGGCCTGGAAAGCAGGCAGTCCCTCCTCACAGGCTGAAAAGTGAGTCTGTGTGGGGCTCTCAAAGGACCTCACTTGCAGTTTGGCATGGAGACCTCTCACCCATTCCAGGCTCAGGGGTGGGGTCCCGAGTCTGCCCCCTAGAACAAGTAGATTCATTCACCCCAGGAATAAAAATCTGAATTCTGGACTAGAAGCCACTCCATCAGGCCATGAGAGAACCTCCATGTGAGTACCTCCTACAGGCAGGCACCCATGTGTCCATGTACACACACACGCACACATGCACACACGCACGCACCAGGTGCTCATTAAGGAGCTCGTGGCCACACCAGCAATCCCCAGTGTACAGCTTCCAAGGGCAGGCAGTCCAGGATCAGACCTGCCTCTGGACTAGCAGATCCTCCTTGCGAGGGCCAGGGCCTGTGCCTGATACCCTAGACCTACAGAGCTCTGCCACTCAGCTCTGACCTGGGAACCAGGCTTCAAAGAAAGAGGAGGAGGAGAAGTGGTGGACGTGGTTGGCAGCAGGAACCTTACCTCCTTGCTAGAAGCCTGCCCTCCTTCCCAGGACCCCAAGATGGCCAAGATGTGCCCTGGACCCAGCCCTCCCCTCCCACTGCTGGCTGCCCCTCCAAAGGGAGCTGCCACAAACAGTCTGCGCCATCAGAGGCCCCAGGATCTGGGCCGGAGGCCCTGGGGAGGGCCTGGGGAAGGGAGTATCAGAAGCCAGAGTCTCTCTCCAGGGAGGGCTGAATTCCTCAGCTTCCACCAAGAGGCTGGCACTAAAGGCTTTGAAATGACAGTCTAGAGGGGCTGTCTGAGCTCCCAGCCCACCCCAAAGGACCATCCCGGGGCTCCTCTGTCCCACCTTCCCCAGCAGGAAGCTCTCCCAGCCAGTCCTGGGGGTACTCCCCTCCGGCACCCTCCTTTCCCTCTCCACCGTGGCTCAGGGACGGACTGGAGTCTCTACCCAGGTAGCACGCCTTAAAGTCTCTGGGCCCACTTTCCAATACACTGGAGTCCTGTCCCAAGGCTGGACAAGAGAAGAAGGGGTACCTGCCCCAGATCCAGGACCCAGCACCCACTCACCCTGGTGCCTCCCTGGCCCCTACCTGCAGAGTCAGGCAGCTCCGGCCAGCAGCCCTGTGCCCCTTGCCCGTCTGTTTGCTGAGTGGAGCTGCAGCCAGTCCCCCAGGACAGCTCAGGGGCCGGCACGGGCTGTACCAAGTGCAGCTGCATGCAGGGGAGAACCTGGGATGACGGCGAGCAGGGGGCTGGGGAAGTTCAAGAGAGCACAGAAATCAAGGGAAGGAGTATCAGAGTTGGGAGAGATGAGCAACCTCAAAACTGAACAGGGCCTTAAGCTCTACAGTGCCCGGGCCCAGCCCAAAGTGGGGCCCCCAAGGGGGAGAAGCAGGCAGGCTGATATGGGCAGGGCAGGTTGGCAGGGAGGGGACAAGGCTTCTTAAAATGCAGTGCCCTAGGGGATAGTGTGTAGGGCCTGGCTAGCCAAGGGGTAGGAGGGGTCAAGCAGCCCTCCTCATCTCCATACCCAACAGCCCCCGGCCAGCTTCCTTGGCCCAGTGGCCTTGTTTTGCTCACCACTGTCCTGTGGGACCCTGACTGTGGGGTCCCTTGGGAGAGACAGGGCCTCTGCCAGGGAGAGGAGCTGGCTGGCAGCCGAGGAAGAGGCTCAGTCCAGGTCGGGACCAGTTATGGAGCTTCCCTGCTGCCCGGGGGACTGGTTCATGGCCCTTAGACATCCAAACCTTGTCCAAGCCTATCATCGGGAACAAACTGCCCAGGAGGAGAGGTTGGGACTAGAATTTGGAGGAGTTGAGTCTGGCTGTTCCCAGTTACAGGCAGTTCTCTCCCTTCTGAAGGCTTCAAGTCTGCCTACAACAGGGTGATAAGGGGTCCTGCCCTGCCGAGCCACAGCTGCCATAAGGCGCTCAGAGATACAGCTTTGCAAGTAGTCTGGAAAACACCATCATCTGCGATTAAGAGCTCCTGGGACCCTCCAAACACTTCCCACGTGCAGTCCCATCCATTAGGGAGCTGAGAGGTTCTGGGCCCCGCATAGGCCAAGGCAACGAGCAGTGAAGGTTGTGAAGAGAACAGAATTGGCGGAGGGTGAACACTATCTCTTTCTTGGAAGAGGGCAAAGCAGAAAGAGGAACACCTCCAGGGTGTAAGACACAGCCTAACTTCCCCCCAAGAACTCAGATCCTACACAACTGCTCCAGACTGCCAACCCCCTCCAGGGGGCCGACCACAGACCTCCAGGGCTGGTCTGTATTGGGTCAGCAGAACTGAGTCAAACGCCCTAATCTCAACCCCCTCTCCTAACAGGGTGACCCAGGGCTCCCACAGAAATGCTGGGGTGACCAGGACAGGTTCCAGCAAGCAGAGCCATCCCCTCAGTCTGCCAGGCCACGTGCAGGACTGCCACAGTTCACTAGAGGTGACAAGACAGGCAGTAACTTCTACATTCCCTGAGGTCAGGTCTAGAAGACCCAGCTGTCTGCTGGTCCCTGTTCCCAGGGTCTGTGCCACAGGAACACACACACACACACGTGCGCACGTATACACATACACACACACACACACACACACACAGAGGGAGGGTTGCCCAAAAGCCAGAAGGGCTACTCCCCAGCCACTTCCACCAACTCCAAGATTCCTGCCAACCATCTACCCACCTGACTCACTGCCAAGACTGCCTTCGCAGACAGAGAGGTACCCAAGGCTTTGACCCACAAGTATCAGATCCTCCCATCATGTGACCACCCAAAGGTGTACAGATTTAGCCCCAGTGGACACACCCTCTGGAGGCACAGACCTGGGCACAGAGAACACAAAACAGTGCAGACCAGACCAGCATCTACAGGGCTTAAGAAAAACAGGAAGTAGGCATAAGAAAAAGCACGCTATAGACACAGACAGCTGCTGGGGGAAGACTGGCTTCACCTGGTCACCAAAGTGGGCGTGGTCTTTCCTTAGCCAAAACGCCTAGGGGCACAGCAGGTGGCAGGTACACATCCCTCAACAACACAGACCCAGGCTGCCAAGCCCTCAGGGAGATGGGCACAGCCGCACCCCGCTGCCTGCTCCAAATAGTGCAGAGATGCTTACTGGAATGGGAGCCGAACCAAAGGGTTTAGGAGCACACGCAGGTGGGCAGTGGCCCCAGCCTTAGTCCCTGCATGGGCCTGACCTAAGGATACCCCATACTTCTGAGGAAGCTCACAAGACACACCAGGAATGAGCAAACTGCAAATGATAGGTACAGTTGAGCCCCCAGCCCCTGCATGACTGGCAACAATAGGTTTGCCCTAACGTCAGACCCCCACTAAGAGGGCTGGAGATCTGGGAACCCAGAACAAGGAACTAACCGCAGGAGGACAGCCTAAGCCTGTCTGGTAAAGGCACAGCCGCCAGCAGGGTGGCCAGTCCGCAAACCAGTCCGTCCCACACATCCCCCACTCCATTCACACACACTCCACATGCAGTCTTAGTACATCCACACGCTGACACGTGTGCAAATACACTTCTTGCTGCACCCACATCCACGCCCACTCCTCATTACAGAGGACAGCATCCCCGACATAGAAAGCTGTCACCCTCCACCCCACCTTCCTCCCCACACCACCTCCCAAGCCAGCTGACCCTGGAGAACAAGAGGCACCACCGCAGAGAGGGTGCAGGAGAAGCCCCCCTCCTTAGGGGTCGGGGTGAGAGGTAGGGAGGGTAAGAGCCAGTGCCTGAGGCCAGGAAGCACACACTCACCTGGTACTGCAGAGGAAGCCTGCAGGCTGGCCCGCTTCTTAAAGGGATATTTGGCCTTGGGTTTGCCGGAGCCAGATGAATAGGATGCCATGGCTCAGGCCGCGGAGACGGCGGGGGGAGTCTGAGCCGCACCAGCTGGGCCTGGCTCTGCCACATCCAACCCCTTCCTCTGCCCCGCCCCCAGCGGGAGTGACTGATGCAGGAAGCAGAGGCCCCGCAGGCGGAAGAGGCCCTGGCCACGATTTCAGATGTTGTCTAGGCAACCTCAGGAGGGGGGGCCTCCATCCCCGCTCCTATCCCTCCCCTCTTCTCCTCAGTCCCTGGAGTGACGACTGACAGTAGCTGGGTCTGGGGGATGGAGGTGAGGAAACAAGATGGGGAAGGGCCAGCCCCAGCGCTCCACTATCCCCCTCAGGAGCCCTTGCCAGGGCTCTGGAGCAAAAGAGTCAAAGTCCAGGCTAACTGGTCCAGCCAGCCTGGGAGAAAAAAAAAATCGTAGAGAGAGATCCAGCGCAAGCTTCCCCAAGCGCAGGACACTTTCCTCTCAGGGCAGGCGGACTCCGTGAAAGCCCAGACCCTCTTCCTCCCCTGACCCCTAGACTCAGGGGTAGCCCAGCTCTGAGAAGATGGGGTAGAACTGAGAATCCAAGCCCACTAGGGAGGAGCCTGTCTTGGGAAAATTCCACTGTCCAGCAGAAGCTACCCTCTGGAAAGGCAGGGAGGCCAGGTGGCAGGGGCTCCTCTGGGGTCTGGGAAAGAAACCCCATCGGCTTCTGACTTTTCCTTCTGTCTTTCCACACACAGGCTTTGCGCTCCAGGTCCTCCCCAGGAGGACCCGGCCATGTTCCCTAGGTCTGCAGGCTGTGCCCACCCTCTTGTCACCCTGGCCACTGCACCTCTCTGTCCCAAAGACCCTGCCCCCCCCCCAAACACGCACATACACTCACCTGAGGCCATACTGCTCGAGCTCTGAGGGGTTCCGGGGCGTCTGCCCGCCAGGGTCTGCACCGCCAGGAAGCCGGGTCGCGAGGGAGAGGAGGAGAGCTGGGGTCCAGACCCCGCCAAATCGCTATAAGGGTCCCTGCTCTGGCACTGAGATGGGGGAAGTAATGCAGTCTTTCAAATTGCCAGCTGGCGGCTGGCGGACCCTCACCAACCTGGGCCGTTGCACTGGCCTTGGAGACCCCGGAGTCCCGACCCCCAACCCGGCACTCGAGAGGCGGGCGAGCCACGTGCTCCCCAGAGAGCGGGACCCGGAACTCCTCTGGGCTTCTCCCCACAATTTCTCGGTATTTGGAGTCGGACTCCGGCAGTTGGACTGTGGGGGGAGTCACGCAACAGGTGCGACCCCACGAAACCTCACCAGCGCTGGCTCGCGTCTCCG